TTGTTTGCCAGAGCGGACCCACCACAGTAAATTATTGCATTGTGGGTGTGTAGGAAAGCGTGCCACAGGATCACCCTGTAGTTGGAAAAGGGGGGATGTGCTCGCAGAATCCCCCTCCCCTCCCCCCCCTTCAAAGGGGGGGGTGAGATTTTCGACCCCCCCCCCCTCCCCCCCTTGATGGGGGGGGGGTTTCTGGACCCCCCCGCCCGCCCTCCCCCACTTGGCGCTGGAAAGGGGGGGGGGGGTCGAACCCCACCCCCCCCTCCCCCCCCTTTTGCGCCGAACAGAGGGCCGGGGATGGGACCTCTCCCGCAAGGGGGGGGGGCTCTGGCCTCGGGATAGTGAGGAGTGAGTAGTGGGCAGAGAGTGGTGAGTAATGAGTGGTGAGTAGTGAGTAGTGAGCAGCAATGAACAGTGAGTAGTGAGTAGATAGTAGCGAGTAGTGAGGAGCGAGCAGTGAGTAGTGAGTAGTGCGCAGTGAGTAGTGAGTAGTGAGTAGTGCGTAGTGAATAGTGGGTCGTGGGGAGTGGGTAGTGAGTAGTGAGTAGCGAGTAGGCAGTAGCGAGTAGTGAATAGTGAGTCGCGAATAGGGCATTGTGAGTGGTGAGTAGTGAGGACGGAGTAGTGGGTAGTGAGTAGCGAGTAGGGAGTAGCGAGTAGTAAGTAGTGAGTAGTGGGTAGTGCGTAGTGAGTAGTGAGTAGTGAGATGGGAATAGTGAGTAGTGAGTAGTGAGTAGTGAGTTGTGACAAGTGGGAAGTGGGTATTGAGTAGTGGGTAGTGGGTAGTGCGTAGGGGTAAGCGAGTAGTGAGTTGTGAGTGGTGAGTCGTGAGTAGTGAGTAGTGAGTACTGAATAGTGAGAGTGGGTAGTGAGTAGGGACTTGTGTCCAGTCAGTAGGGAGTAGGGAGTAGTGAGTAGTGAGTAGTGCGTAGTGGGTAGTGAATATTGCGTATTGGGTAGCGAGTAGCGAATTGGGAGTAGCGAGTAGTGAGTATTGAGCAGTGAATACTGTGTAGGGAGTAGGGAGTAGCGAGTGGCGAGCAGCGGATAGTGAGTAGCTAGTTGTGAGCAGTGAGTAGTGAGTAGTGAACTGTGAATACTCAGTAGTGAGTAGTGGATAGTGGTTAGTGGCTAGTGAGTAGTGCTTAGTGAGTAGTGAGTAGTGGGCAGTGAGTAGTGTTTGGCGAGTGGTGAGTATTGAGTACTGGGTAGTTTGTAGTGAGTGGCGAGTTGGGAGTAGTGCGTAGGGAATACGGAGTAGTGAGTCGTGACTAGTGAGTAGTGGGTAGTGAATAGTTCGTATTGGGGAGCGAGTAGGGTGTAGGGAGTAGCGTGTAGTGAATAGTGAACAGTGAGTACCGTGTAGGGACTAGGGAGTAGCGAGTAGCGAGTAGGTGATAGTGAGTAGTGAGTTGTGGGCAGTGGGTAACGAGTAGTGAAGTGTGAGTAGTGGGTGGTGAATAGTGGATAGTGACCAGTGGTGTTTAGTGAGTAGTGAACAGTGAATATCGAGTAGGGAGTAATGAGTAGCTAGTAGTGAGTAGTGGATAGCGAGTAGGGGGTAGAGTAGTGAGTCGTGAGTAGTGAGTAGTAAGTAGTGAGTAGTGCGTAGTGAGCAGCGAGTAGTGAGTACTGGCGAGTGAGTAGTGCGTAATGAGTAGCGAGTACCGTTTAGGGCTAGGGTTACCGCTTGGGGTTAGGGTTTAGGGGTTAGGGTAAGGGTGAGGATTTTGTTAGGGGTTGTAGGGGTCGGGGTCCGGAGCCCGGAAGCGCCGTGGCGAAAGGGGGGGAGGGGGGGTTTCGAATTTGGCGGCCAAAGGGGGGGAGGAGGGGGGGGGGGGTCGGACCTCCCCGCCCGTTTTGAAAGGGGGGGAGGTGGGGAGGGTCCCCGACGACGGATCGGGAAAGGGGGGAAGAGGGGGGGGGGTTCCCGACGACGGATCGGGAAAGGGGGGGAGGGGGTTCCCCGACGACGGATCGGGGGAAGGGGGGGGGTCCCCTCCCCCCCCCTCTGGGGAGATCCAGCGGCGCACCCTCGGTGTGTAGGCTGTTCGGCGCACGATTTGTGGTACGTGGCTCAGGCTGCGTGATGCAATTTATTACATGTTGTGTAAGCTAAGCGGTGCAGTCTCTGAGGTGCACACTACGTACAAGCTATGTGGTGTAAGCTATGTGGTGTCAGCTATGCGGTGCAGCCTACGAGGTTTAAGCAACATGGTGTTGGGTGTGCGGACGCATCCAGGTGGTTCGCGCTGTGTTGTGTAAGGTCTGTGACTAATACTATGTCGTGGAAAATCTGTGTTGGAAACACGGTGGCGCAGGCTATGTGGTAAACGCTATGATCAAAGCTATGTGTCAAAATCCGTGGAACCGCCCAGCGAACGAGGCGCCCACCAGCGGCCACGGGCGTGCACCAGGCTTGGCACGCGCACGCACACACACGCACACACACGCACGCACGCACGCACGCCGCACGCACGCACGCACGTACGCGCGCACGCACGCACGCACGCACGCACAAGACACACGCACACACGCGCGCACCCACACACGCACACACGCACGCACGCTCACACAACACTCAACACACACAACACACAACACACAACACGCAACACACACAACACACAACACACAAAACACACAACACAAACAACACAGAACACACAACACACACCACACGCAACACACAACACACACAACACACAACACACAACACACAACGCACAACACAAACTACACACACCACACACACAACACACACAACACACAACATACACAACACACAACACACAACACACAACACACACACAACAAACACATTTTTTACGTGCGCGGCTGGGCAGAGGTTACTGCTCTGGCGATGTGGCATCAGTGGGGCGCGCAGAATGCAAATTCGCACACACACACAAGCACGCACGCACGCACTCACGCGCGCACGCGAGCACGCGCGCACGCACACACGCTCGCACGCATACACACGCACACACGCACACGCACACGCACACGCGCACACACACGTACACACGCACACACGCACACACGCACACACGAACACACGCACACACGCACACACGCACACACGCACACATACGCACACACATGCACACACACGCACACACACGCACACACAGACGCACACACACACACACACACGCGCACACACGCACACACACACGCACACACACACACACCACACACACACACACGCACACACATGCACACGCACGCATGTACACACACACGCACACACGCGCACACACATGCACACATATGCACACACGCACACACACACGCACACACACGCACACACACGCACACACACACACATACGCCCACACACGCAAACACACAACGCACACGCACACATCAGCACACGCACGCACAGACGCACACACACACACGCACACACACGCACACACTCACACTTACACGCGCCCACACGCACACAATTTTCAAGTCGTCGGCGCAGAGGAACCTCAGGCGCGGTCGGCAGACCGAGGTGTCATTTGCGAACGAACTTCGAACGAGCTGCGATGGAAGAGTCCAGCTACGGCCATGCATAGTGGTGGGGTATCATGGAAAGACGAGGCGCTGTGAAGCCAAATTGCAACGGCCAAGCACCCCGCGGAGCGTAGCTCGACGCCAGGAGTTGAAGCGCAGGCAGCAGTCTGGCGCTAATTCTGCAGCGGCGAACCAACCCGCGGAGCGTGTCTCGATGCCAGGAGTAGAAGCGCGAGCAGCAGCCTGGTACTAATTAGCCAGTGAGGCGGAAAAGACATGTAAAACTGCCAGACTAGCCGATTCGTGGGGTAACGCTGAGAGCAACAGCTGGCCAGACGATAAGTAGGGGTCCCTACGAACTGGCGGCAGAAGATACACACGCACACACACACTGTTAGTTCGGCGGCTCAGAGGAACCTCGGGTGCTGTCGGCAGATGGAAGTGCCAACCGCGAGCGATCTTAGTCGAACGCGCCGTGATGAAACAATCCAGCCGCGGCACACACAGCGGACGAGGCGCCCACGAGGCGTCCACGGGCGGGCACCGGGCGAAACCTCGGCAAACCTACCCAGCGCGCGAGGCGCCCACGGGCGCTGGCGAAACTTCGGCATATCCAACCAGCGTGCGAGGCGCCCCACCAGGCGCCCACGGGCGGGCACCAGGCGAAACCTCGGCATACCCACCCAGCGCACGAGGCGCCCCGCGAGGCGCCCACGGGCGGGCACCAGGCGAATCGTCGGGGCGCCCACCCGGCGCTCGAGGCGCCCACGGGCGCCCACCACCAGGGCACCAGCCGAACATTCGATACACCCAACCAATTACCTTAAGCAACATAGTTAGTTGAGAACCCCTGTGTGCAAACATTTTGGCGCACCCAGCCAACTACCGCAAGTAACGTTGCACCAGCGGAAACACAATCGGTGGATGGCTTGGTCATGGGTCATGTGGAAGTGAGATCGATCGCGGGATCGATGGTGCGGACGGTACTAAGGTCGGTCGTGAGACCGATCGTGAAATCGATTCAGTGAGATCAACAGTGAGATCGATCGTGAGATCGCTCGTGCGATCTTAGTGAAATCGATTGTGAGATCGGAAATGAGATCGATGGTGAAGTCGATGGTACGATCGATTGAGTGAGATGGATAGTGGTATCGATCCTGATATCGATGGTGAGCTCGATCGTGGGATCCCGAAATCGGCCCAGAGCCAGCAACAAGGAACCCGGGAACCCGGAACCAGGAACCCGAGAACCCAGCCGGCCACCGACATCGGCCCGGGATTTTCGCCGAGTCTTTCAATATTCGCTAGGGTCTCTTCAGTGCAAGCAGTGATCGGGGAACCCCCAAGTGCAAATACATTTCGGGGGATCCGTGGTTTCGGTTTCTGCGGATCCTGTTGCGGTGCTCTTGTGGCCGTCTTGGAAGAACCGTGGACCAGTTGTGGGGCGTGCTGTGGCCCCAGTTTGCTGTCTTGGAGGCGCCTCGAGCCATCTTGGCGGCCATGGCGGCTTGCCTGCTTGCCCGAGGCGTCTTGGTGGTCATCCGAGGCATCCTGGACGCCTCGGAGAGCGCCGGGGAGGCGTGTCGGGCTGCCCAGGGAGCCTCGGGAGTGTGGGGGGGGTGCGGTGCATGCCCGCGAGTGGGGCTGCGAGGGGGGAGGGCCCATGGGAAGATCACAGGACATCGACCAGGCAGCATTCCACACAGAGCACTTGGCGTTCTGCCACGCCTCAACGTGCCAGGGAGGCCTGGTGGCGGAGTCAGCTCACCCCACTCATTCGTCCCACTCGTTCCCTCCATGTGGCCCATGTCCCTTCACGGCCTCGCACCAGCGTGTGATGACGGGCCGCCCGCTTCGATCGCAGAGGAAAAACACGTTCGAGGCATGGCAGTGCTGTTGCTTGTTCGCCACACCCCGAACAGCATACTCCGTGCACCAGTGGCCATCTTTGTTCAAGGGGGTCCGCCGTTTCGCCGACCCCTAGAAGAGGAAGCTCGCGACGGTGGCTGTTTCATGAGTTTGCCATCTGGAGGCTTCGTGGGGATTTTTTGATGCCATCGTGGAGCTGACGTTGGACGAACTCGAGTCATCGTGGAGGCCACCTTGGCGGGGGACTTGGGCCCGACCACCCGGGCCCATCTCGGGGCTCCTCTTGGGGTCGCTTTTGGCTACATCAGGGCGATTCGGGGCGCTCTGACAAGACATCGCGGACCTCCTCGCTGCATGTGGCCCGCCTGCGGTGGTGGTGCCGCTTCTCTTCCCCCCAAGGGGGGGGGGGGGAGGAGCGGCAGGGGGGCAACGCATACCCCCTGCGCTGCACAGCAACGACTGGCGGACAGTTGTTGCCGTGTGGGTGCTGTTCCAGCTTGTTGTGTGTGTGTGTGTGTGTGTGTGTTCTGCCTCCTTCCGGGGTGCTGCCTGGGCCCCGGGGTCGTCAAATGGTTCCTCAGGACGGAAGTCAAGCCAGTGGGTCTTGAGCCTCCACGGTCTCTCGCGCGGAGCTCCGCGAGGGAGGGCTCCTCGAGGAGCGGTCTCGACGGCCTCACAGAACGTGCACCCCCCAGCTCCAAGATCGCCAGGCGGCCACAATGGGACAAACGGCCCCGCCAGTGCGCCAAGTGTAGACGTCCCACCGCTCAGATCTGATCCCTCCAACGGGCGGGAGGGGAGCAATCGTTCGCCAGCGCCTGTGATCCGCAGATCCCCGCTTGCCGTGGGCGAGAAGGGGTGTGAGATGTTTTGCTGTCCTCCGCGTGGTTTCCCCTCTCCCGAAGTCCAAAGTCCAGTCTCAAGGGGGGGGCGGGCGCGAACCCGTCAAGGCATCTTCAGGCCCTATCCACGAGCCGTTACAATAACCAGCTCGGCTTCCAGGGGATCCCACATGACATAATAGTTGTCGAATATGGCTCAAAAGGGGCGAGTACGCATCTTCAGGCCCTATCCACGAGCCGTTACAATAACCAACTCGGCTTCCAGGGGATCCCACATGACATCACATGACACAACAGTTGTCGAATATGGCTCACAAGGGGGCGAGTGCTGCCTCCCAGCTGGCCTCCAAGGCAGCTCCAAGTTTCAGTGAGAGCAGCCCAGGGCCGCCGCGAGACCATCCCAGCATGCCATCAGACGGCTCACGTATTTACCGAGACGGCCACGAGGCCCCCAAGGGATGCCACGATGGCCCCTAAGAAGCCCAACTGGCGCCACGTGGGATACATATCGGAGATGTCCTGGGCGGGGCGCCGCAAGATGGAGGGACCACACCACCAGGAGAGCCTTGTTTGACCGCCGCGCCTGGTGGTGGTGATGGAGTCGCCTTTCCTCAGCTTCGCCCCTTCCCCCCGCCCCCTCTGCCAGGGGGGCGCGGGACAGCAGCTCGTGGTCACAATTGGAGGGTGGTTGCGTGCACCGTGCAAGGACAAATCTACCTCGGGAGACTGAATGAGCGGCGCCCCTCCCAGCCCCGCAGGGCGGTGCGAAGATGTGCGGAGCTGGCCCATGCATCAGCCGAGCGGGCTCAACTCTAGGCGTCTCATATTGGGTCGAAGTAGACGGGGTCGGAGGATCGCGCCGCACCGCCGACTCATCGGCGATGCGGCTCGATGTGGACACCGAGTTTCTCTAACGCCGATGGCGCCGATGCGTCGGCGATGCGATGCAATCCTCCGACCCCAGGCGGAGGACGAGGAGGAGGAGGAGGAGGAGGAGGCGGAGGAGGATGGGGGACGAGGAGGAGGATGAGGAGGAGGAGGAGAAGGAGGAGGCCGAGGAGGAGGAGGTTAAGGAGGGGGAAGAGGAGGCGGAACACGCGACGGCTCAAGCAAGCCAGCGTTGGTCCAAAGTAACGAGGAGGAGGAGGAGGAGGAGGAGGAGGAGGAGGAGGAGGAGGAGGAGGAGGAGGAGGAGGGGAGGGGAGGAGGAGGAGGAGGAGGAGGAGGAGGAGATGAGCAGGAGCAGGAGAAGGAGGAGGAGGAAGGAGGGGGGAGGAGGAGGCGGAGGAGGAGAAGGAGGAGGAGGAGGAGGAGGAGGAGGAGAGGGTGAGAGGAGGAGGAGAAGGAGGAGGAGGAGTAGATGTGGAGTTGGAGTGGAGTTGGAGAGGAGGGGGAGGAGGAGGAGAGGAGGAGGAGAGGAGGAGGAGGAGGAGGAGGAGTGGAGGAGCGAGGAGGAGGAGGAGGAGGCGAAGGAGGAGGGGGGGGAGGGAGGAGGAGGAGGAGGAGGAGGAGGAGGAGAGGAGGAGGAGGAGGAGGAGGTAGGCGGAGGCGAGAGAAGAGGGAGAGAGGAGGAGGAGGAGGAGGAGAAGGATGAGGAGAAGGAGGAGGAGGAGGATGAGGAGGAGGACTAGGAGGAGGAGGAGCAGCAGGAGGAGCAGGAGGACCAGGACGAGCTCCCCACGCGTTCTTCCCACGCTGGCGGCCGCTGTGCCGCGGCGCCCCGGGCCAGCTGCCAAGCCATTGCGCTGCGCAGCCATCTGGGCTCGGGGGCGCCTGGCGGGTCCGAGCGAGGGCCGCCGCGGACGGTGGCCGCGTCGCTCGGCTGCAGCAGCTCGTGGACACAAGGCCCAGTTCGAGGTCGAAATATCATCGAGCACAAAAAAGAGCCCCTAACCCTGACAACACGATCAAGAAGTGGCCTCACTGAGGCCCCTGGCTTCGCACTGGGGATAGTACTGCTGGGCGCTTTGGTCCGATACATCTGCAGACAAGACCCCCTCATCCCCAATGTTTTTGGCCGTCCTAACTTAGGTCCCCTCTCAAAGAGTTAGGGGTCCTTATTGGATTGATCAAAGTAAGGCGGGGGAGGGGAAGGATGATGCGGGAGGAGATGTCGAGACAATTGGACGCGACTGGATGCACGAGGTCTTGGCCAGACACCCCGAAGCAGGAAAGCTGGCTGTAGGAGCTCTTGGCGCTGTCTTGGTCAATGTCCTGGCCCTCCTCGCACGAGGGCTCGGTGGTTCCTTAGGTTCTCATGCGTTCTGTATTGCTCTTTTGGTGTCGGGCCCCCTCAGGCGCTCCTACGGACTCTACGGCCGTTCCTTCGGACTTCACGGTTCGACATTGAAAAGCGACAAAAAGTTTCGTTCTTTGCAGTCGGACCGAGGTATGAGATCGAGGTCGGTTCGGGGAGGGTGCCCGAATTAGTGTTCTTCGTGTCTGTTGGACGTTCTTGTGCATCCAGGGGGGGGCACCCTTGGATGCTCTGTGCGTTTTGGCCGGCGGAGGGTCTCATGTTCTGGAGGGATGTTCTTCTGACCCAGGTCCCACCGTACTGAGCGTTCCTTGTCTCAGCAGCTCGACGGCACGCAGACCCGCGTCCCCAAACGCTGCCATCTGTTGGTGACCCTGGTCGGCCCCCTGCTCGGCTCCGATCGACCGACCCGTCTCTAGGCCTCCCAGATGGGGTCGGAGGATCGCGTCGAATCGCTGATGCATCGGCGATGCGGCTCGATGTGGAGTCCGATTTCCTCCACGCCGACGCCGCCGAGGCATCGCCGACGCCTTCGAGGCATCGTCGATGCATCGGCGATGCATCGCCGATGCATCGGCGATGCGTCGGGATCCTCCGACCCCATCGGGCGGCCCACGTTCTCGGAAGCGGCCTCTGGGGGCCTCGGTGGAGCGCGCGCTGCGTGCAGCAGCGGTCGTCGCAGCCACCCCTGCCCAATCTCCCCCCCCCCACACCAGTCGCCTGGCGCCCGCGAGGAGGACAGGGGCCTCTGAGGCCGCCCTGGAGCGATCTTGGGGGCCCGAGGGGCCGTCGCGATTTTCTGGAGCAGAGGGGCCCAGGGACACACAAACAGAAATAGACACAAGTCCCAGGCTCCACCCTATTTTCCAATGTTTTCTGAGTTTTCGTCTTCCCCCCCCCACACCCCACATCTTCCCAGAACTTCCTGGGAGTCGACGATTCACTGTGGCTGCGTGTGCTCTTTCCCCTCGTGATCGTTTTTTGAATCCTTGTTTTGCCGATCGGCGCGGGCCCCCCCCCACCTGGAGTAGACCTTGGCAGTTTTTGGCGCCTGCTTCGAGCAGGTGGAGCCTCCCCCATAGTGGACGCACTGCTGCAAACAGTCGCACTAAGCAGAGGTCCAGAGCCAGACCCCCCCGCCCCCCCCCCTTCCTCCCAATGTCGAAGCGCCGAATAAGAAAACACGCTCCCCTCGTGATCCTGCACCGCCCGGATCTGAAGGGGGCGGCGACGCGTCTGCAGCGGGCTCGGCTCGGCCAGGGTCCGGCGCGGGCATTCTGCCGATCGCGGGACATGCAGCGCGCCCTGGCGCGCTGGGCGGTCCTCGATGGCGCGGCCTTCGGCGCCGACCCAGTGTCGAGGCTCTCGCCGTTCGCGCTCGCCCGCATGGCCCAGCGGGCTGCGCGCGAGAACAGGACTCTTCGGAGCACGGGGCGCGCCACCGCCACTCGGGGGAGGAGGAGGAGGAGGAGGAGGAGGAGGAGGAGGAGGAGGAGGAGGAGGAGGAGGAGGAGGAGGAGGAGGAGGA